CCTAAATAAGCTTAGGAAGGTAACGGGTAAAATAAATTGCGCTTCTAGACTATTGATTAGCATGGAATATCCGGGTCGGAGAGGACGCCCTTGGCGTTGAATGGAAGATAACAAATCGAACGGGAAAGGCCCAGTGACAGGTGAGATCTGAAGACTCTCGGTGCTAGGAGGCAAGGACACAGCCGGCCAAATGGTCTTCGCTATAAATAGCAGACCGGTCCTCGTGAGTTGTGTCTGCCCTCGCTGCTCTAGCACACCTCTCTTATAGCCAGAGGTTAGGGGATATAATAATATTATAATTATGATTATAATACAATCGATATTTTAATAATGATATACTAGTATATCATCGACTGATTGTAAGAAGTTACCCAGTTACACCGACCGTTGTTAACATTAATTTTATTGCACCAATCAATTTTCGTTGGACCAATGTTGATTAGCTTTAACAACGTGTTAAGTTATCACGATTAGCTACCCTAACGTTAGACTGATGTTAAAGTGTAACCTTTCAAACGGTTACTTCTAACAACCAACGCACATTCCCTTCTTATGAGGATGCTAGTGTACAGTTTTTCTTTTGTACGTTTTTAATGACTACTACAAATATGATTTCATCCCAAGAACATTCTTCTGAAGAAAGTTTTTCATCTGATGAAGACTTATTAAATCTTATCAATCTGTTTTTCACTTTCAGAAAAATTGTTCCCTCTTTTTGTTTTTCCATCGTCTTTACAATAATTAACAAGCGATAACCAATCAAATAGTCTAACACCTCGTTAATCGTAAATATTAAAGTTTATATACAAGTGGATGGAAGGTTTTATAATATAAACCAATGGGCGTGACATAGAACCCAAAAATTTGAAAATAACGAGATTTTGTGATCATATTATCATACGATTCAAGTTAAAAGCAAATGGGTATTCATGAGTTTTAAGTACATAATTAAATATACTAAGTTTTCCCGAGCGCCGGTTTGAGAACGACGTAATTCTGAAAATTTTCTTAAATAAAATATTTGTAGGTTAAGATAAGAACAAGCTATTTACGAAGTTTCGGGCGAATGTTAATAATTTGATAAAAAGGTGTCTCTACAACAGACTGCAAGTTCATTTACAATCACCTGTTCTTGTTATAAGTCATCAATAAGATGACGTTACCACCTTGTTAACTTACTCGATTTAAAAATTATTTAGAGCAACTGAATCTAAAGTTTAACATTGGTTAAGTTTTAACGTGGGTTAGTTAAAAGATAATGTTGGTGCAACCAGGCCCAGGTATACTTTTAAAATCTTATTAAGTACATTTGTGAATTCCGATCATATTTATATATGCGAAAACTCACCAAGTGCCAGCAATAAAAAACAAAACTTATTATATCTCAAGAAATATTTTAAAAGAGGAAAAATCATGAAATTACTTAATGTTTTAATTTTCTAATTTGTTACTTAATGACTATATTGTAGGGGGACAATTATGGTAGCATTGCTACACCAGGCGAGATAGGTCGACTTGGGTCACAAATATCTGAAATGACTCGAAATAAAATAAAAAATATCTTTTTTACTATAATGTAATCGAGTCCTGAACCTTCTTTCAGGTACTCTAATAGTGTTCGACCTATCAGGAGACCGTGGTACGAAATTGGTTGAGTGAAATTTGCAAAGTGGAAAAATTGAAGAAATTTCTGAGCCAAGCAAAAATCTGTAAAAGATCATAGATTAAATGATGAATTATTTTGTGAAAGATCGTATAGTATTACGTTTCAAGAGAAGAAATTGGTGCCAGACTTAATAGCGATATCCAAAAATACACCAGTTGCTTGTTGTTTTCATCAGTTATTATTCTTTTTCAGTCAATATGTCTTTATAAATTACATTTTCAAGTACTTGGGAGCATATCGGAAGGATTCTAATCGGTCTGAAAAAAGGACTATATTTATCTTTGTATGATCTACTTATCATTTTAATAATTCAGCCTCTCAACTGGGTTTAGCCACAGTGAAGCGGTTGAGAGAAAAATGCAGAGATCTCCTGGAGTCATGCTTTTCCATCCACAGTTGGAGGGACAAGTCTGACTCAGAGATCTCTCGCCTGATTGTAAATAGTGTATGTAGGCATGTATGTGTTCTTTTTAATTTATTTATTTTTAGGTAATTTTATACTTATTTATTGTATATATGTTATTTTTCTGTATAATTTATTTTTTTTTCATTTGTACGCAGAGTGTGAATGTGATCTCTGAACACTATTACAAATGTCCATTGAGACAGGTTGTAATATTTTCAATAAAATATAAAAAAAAATTTAAAAAATTGAATATCACAATTACATTAGATTTTTATATGTCTTTAGTATACAGTTGTGAATTGCACATATCGCTACTGTTACTGCAAAAGATCGGATGTAAAAATTTTAATTAAATAATTTTAATTGTTGAAAATTAATATCACTATAAAATAATGTAAAATGTAATATTTTAGGTCCGATGGAAGACAAATTAACAGGTTGATTAAGATTAAGATTACAACACCCTGTATGGGATAAATAAAGCTTAACCATTAAGGCTGGAAATGGTTACTATATATTTAGAGACATAACCATAGATAAGAACGAGATTTATCAATTATATAATTTAATAATAGCAGAATAGGAATATTAAAGTCAAATAGAAAAGGCATACATTTTGTAGAAATTATTTACAAATAGAAACTTCTGTTTTTACGAAGCTTCGTAGCTCTTATTTATTTTTTTTTATTAATTTATTTTCAATTATTTGTACGTGTTCCTAAATTACCTAACTAAAACTAAAACTTATAAATATTTGTCTCAGATTAATACAATATTTAAGTGTTTTTAAAACATGGATTATACTGATTCGGAGAGGACTTGCCATAAACACAATACAAACCTAAGCTGATAAGACTTCAGTACCGGAGAGATAGGGCAAACGGATTACATCGGTACTCGAAATTCATGTGAGTATTTTTATTATATTCATAGGTCACTCAAATTTATAACTAGTAAATAAAACAAAGCATTCTTTTTTGTTCATATGAAAGAAATTTAGAAAATTTCCTATATTAAAATTTTTGAATGTATCCAGTTGATGATAAGAAAGCAACCACTTGAGAATTTTCTGGATGTTAATTAGAAAATACGGATAAGAAAATAAGGCGAAAATAATTCTTAAAACTTATATTTTGTGGATAAAGAAAAGGTTGTTGCGAATAATCTTTCAATCAACTAAATGTAAACATGGCTAATTTTTTTTATGTTAATTTAAATGATAATCTATCATGATCGTCATCCAACAAACATTGGTAAATTAAGAACACATTAAATTAAATAACAAAAAATATAATATAAAATTATTTACTTTTTACAATAAAAAGTTATTTTAGGTGTATCATAGAGATGAGAAAACAAAGACCAAACTAAATAAGAAAAATAATAAAAAAAAATTAAAATTAACAAATTTTAGATAAACTGAAAGATTAAACAACTTATAAATCAAATTTCACAAAAATAATTAATTGTGTCTCTCCTATTAGAACTGAAAGAATTTTTTAAAGAAAATATTTCATTTTTCTTAATTTATTATAAAGTCATAGAACTAATATTATATTTTTAATGATGATATTTAATATTAATTATAAATTTAATTGGTTAAAATTAGTGTATATAGGTATGTCTGTGTTTTTTCTTAATTTACTTATCTTTAAATTATTTTATTTTATTTTGTTTTTATTTACTGTAAATACAATTTGAATATTATTTATTAGTTTGTTTGCTTCTGCTTATTTTATATTTTTATGTATATATAATGTGAATGTGGTCTTACCTCTCTATAACTATTGTCCAATTGACAGAATGTATATATTACTCAATAAATAAAAAAATTAAAAATTGGTTAAAATTAATCCGGATATGTAGAACCTTTCAAATTTAATTTTTCACATTATCGAAAATATTTACGTTTACCAGCAGTATCTAACAATTATTTACAAAAAACAGATCTGGACGAAGAAAATAACACAACAGAAGGTATTTTATGAGATGTATTAGCAATAAAGTTTAAGATGTATGTTCGTGAATTGTCATTAAAGGTAATATTGTTTTAAGAAAGGACATATAAGTGTAATGGTTTAATTGAAATTTTTATTGTCACATTAAGTTTTAAGTGCCAAAGTTTTATTAACAAAAAATTTTTTTGAAAACTAAATAATTTTTTTTTTTACTTAATTTCTTCTTCAACAGACTTTTCATGATTTGTTTATTCTGAAAAACAATTATGATAAAACAGTTCCACGAATTTCATTCATCTCAGCAGTTTGTTTGTTAATGGCGTAAAACTTTAATGGTCATCAACCTTATTTCAACTCTGTCTTTATTTTTTTTTTTTAATTAACTCATTTTACATAAACATTATATACACAATAATTACACACATTTATTTCTTTATGTTATTTTATTTCTATATATATATTTTAATAAACTATTTATTTGACGCTATGAAAATTTTAGGACTAATTCTATAGTTTTTTGGCCATCTTTGAGGATTGTTGTTAATTCAGGTTTAACGTATTAAGACTATTAAGATGCGATTTAATGTAAAATTTGGGTATTCCTGAAAAATATGTCATGTATTAATTTCAGTAGTTTTGATGACAAAACAAAAATGTTTTGAGGATCTTTTAAGAACTAAAACCTAAACGTTTTGATCACTCTCTCTCTCTCTCTCTCTCTCTCTCTCTCTCTCTCTATATATATATATATATATATATATATATATATATATATATATATATGTTTTATTTTATCTTTTTTTTCTGTCTGCTTTCCAGACCTCCTAATCAACCTTTGCCTATCTTGGACTTCTTTCTGGTGGATCGTATTGATAAATACGATCCTTTCTCAGCAGCCTGAAGATGGTGATGGAAGAACTGCTTAATTCGATGGAAGCTCTCGGGATGCTGGCACACTAATTTCTTTGAGATGCTCCATCACCATGTCTTCCAATTTTATCTTAAAGGTATCTACTTTCTGATTTTAAAGGAAATCAGTTTATTTCTAAATTAGTAAATATATATATTCATTACTATATTATATTGTATTCAATAATAGATTTTTTTCATGAATTTTTTTAGCCTTAGTGATAAGAAACACTTATCTGAAGATAAATATGAAATTGCGAATAATATCAAAATTAAAATTTAAAGAAGTAGATACATTTTTTAAACCGTACCTTTCTCCAGTTTTTTGTCTATTTTTTATAAACAATTAACAGAACTTTATATCAATTTAAAGATTACTAATTGACAGTTTTTCAAGCAATAAAAACAATTTGTTGATTAAACCAGACCAAAGTCTATGACTGACCAATAACTTTAGGGATTTAATAGAAGCTTTCTGACAAATCGGAAAGGCTATTGAAAAATGTGTGGTGTTCCAAACAGTAAAAATAAACATTTCATACCTATATTTGTTCAGAAATTATACGATATTTTGCAGAGAAAAAAGAATTTGATGTATTATTGGTAGTATTTTACTGTCTATTATGTATAATAATAATATACGATAGGTGGGGGATATTTTTATCGTTAGAGGCCTCAGTAAGGTTAAGGCAGTGGTAATCGAGGCCGAAACAATTTTTTATATTTTGTACTTATTTTTATTTATCAGTAAATACACACCCATATACACATATACATACACATATATTCAACTCGATTCTATTAATTTTTAAATTTTTGTAACCTAAATAATTAAATATTAATTAATTCGAGCGCTAGATTAACAAATATGCCGCAGAAACGTTTGGTGACCTCTGTCAGTTCAGACCTCCGAGCTCGTAGTTTCTCACCTGTGCAATTGATAGATAATTATTGATAATTTATTTTGGACGAGATGAAACATGTGTATTTTTATTTTTATTTAAAACATTTATGCATGCCAATTTAAACACATATCCGGCGATTTTTTGCATCTCTATTTACAAAATGCCGACATTTCTTTAACTCTATTTGGTAAAAATTAGAATTTTATCTATTTAGAACTAAAATAATAAGGATCGTTAATTTTTTGTAATATTTAAATGACAAATTTTCATCTTTTGGTTATTAATGATTGCGGAATGACGATTTGTTTCCATGCGTACGGATATGTTTTAAGATTGCAGGAAAATAATTTAAAATTCAAGTACTATTGAAATATTGATAGCCTCTATACGTCTAAATTTAATGCTTGACACATAATTGTTGATTTCGTTTTTCAAGAAATCCTATGGTTTATTTCTGTCGATCCAGCCTGAGATTTCTGCAACGCATCTGCGTCGCACATTTCCCGATGACTTCTTTCATTTCTTTTGCGTCCTTGAGTATCCTTTCTCTCTGACCTTAACTATGATTACCAAGATATCCAGGATAATATTGCAAACATGAGCTGAAAAATACATGTCTAAGCTCGTTTGACAACCCCTGATGGTTTATTGAGCATATATACAACGTAATGGGATTTTTTAAAATAATATATTCCTAAAGCAAATTTTATCCCGTGGTTTTGCTGAATAGGAACTAAGTTTCATTTTAAATGAGAAATAAGTTAACAGTTTTCGCTCCATCTTCAAGAAGTGCGACGTGGAATGACTCCAGCTGTCGAACCGTAGTTATTCTTGGTAATGGAAAATTCATGTATTCTGTCATTTGGTTTTTAAATTTTGTTTGCATACAGTAAAATAATTGAAAATGACCAGCTTTACTCCGGGAAATTAACGGAATAGTGTAGCTGGAATTGTCAAAGGTTAGTTTTTTTATGATTATTATTTATTTTTAAAAAAAGACAAATGAGAGGTTAGTTTTTAGGTTAGACTAGAAAAAAAAAATGAACAGATGTTAATATGATTTTTTTTATTTTTTAAGGTTATTTTATGAGATGATACTTCCTATCATTAATTGAAGATATTTTTATTCACTAAGGTTTATTAATTAAATAGATTTTTGTGCTAATTATTTGTTCTGATAAGTATCCCTCCTCGATAAAGTCCATGTTGTTATTTATTACAACACATAGGACCGATGTAATTTAGAATATTATCAAGTTATAATTTTTCTAAACTGATATGAACAAATTTAAATATTATTAACGTACGTAAATAAAGACAATTTATTAGACACATATTTTAGAACTAGGAGTTGTTCTGAAGAGGATCGAGTACGAATAAACCGAAGATACCCTAAGCCATAATAGTAAAGTGTATCTGATAGCTAGGACCCAAAAATCGACCTGATCGCAGGCCAAGGTTTGAATGTAAATTACGAAAGTGTATGCTATTCTGAGTAAAATGGATCTAGAAAGGCAGACTAGAGCCGCTGCTTTAAAAAATGGCGGTTGATTTAAAGAATATTAGGACAGTATTTGGGCACAAGATTTTCTTTTATGATGTGCAAAAAAAAAAAAAAACAGAAAATTTATTTTTCAATATTTCTATTTAAAATACAATTTATTTATTTTTACTAACAGAAATATTAATCACAAAACATTTTTGTGATTAGTGTTTGAAAACCTTCGTGATTATTTACATTATTTGTTTTAATTTTGAATTTATTTTATCAGTAATCTCTACATAATCGCTGTTTTTAATTAAATTATTACGAAATGTATATAGAGATGAAGAACAATATAGGAATTAAAGTTATAAGGTAAATACAAATTATTATCAATATAAATTATTATAAAAATAAATTATACAAAAAATGTTTTAATGAAATACTTTATTAATTAATTAATACTAAAATATTGAAAACCGTTTTTTTTATAATTAATAATAACAATATGCAATGTTATTAAAATTAATGTATTCTGATGATCAGATCAAAACCTGTGAATCGTTATGAGGAATAAGAAATGACGATCACTGGATATAATTTATTAAAAATAATAAAAAGAACCGATTAATATTACATTAAAATACGCAATAAATCAACTGATGTAGCCATACTCGATAAGGCCGGAGAATCCTGGGTTTACAATCTTACCCAATGAGGTACCACCCTATTTAATAATAATTAGCTACTATAAATATTACGAATTTTAAAAATAAGGTACTAATAAGAAATATACAATCTGCGTATTCTAATAATGGAATCAGGCCCGATAGCTATATTAAACCAGGACAGAGTGAGAATCAGATGTTGGCGTAGGCCCCACAGCGAGGCACAGCTGCCGCTGGTCTGACCCAGTACTGAATCTAAGTCGCACGGTTGCTGAGATTGTGCCTGTCTTGTTAGCGTGTCGGATGGAGGTCTTCTGCAACAATTATCATGTCGGTATGTCCAGAGATTTGTCCTCTTCCTCATTATTCTAACATTTTATTAAGCAGTCAGTAGGTCACCAATTTGGACATTTTTTTTTTTTTTTATGTTTCCATATCCAATAATATAAAAGTGTTCATTCTAATGAGCCTTTGGAACCAAGAAAGAAAGTATCAATTTGAAAAATCAGTTTTACTTCCATATTTATTTATTCATGTATTTCTGCATATTAAACAACATATACACACCTTTTTTTTTTTTTTTTTGCTTGGAATAATTAAAAATACGCTCGAAATTTTTAAATGAGCTTGGGCGCCAAAAAAATCTGAAAGCATATAAAGTATAGCCGCTTTGAGTAAAGTAGGTCAAACAAGTGTTTAAAGTAAAATGCCATTTCACATTTGTTTTAAGAATCCACAAAAAAAAAAAAAAAATTTAAATACTAGTTTTTAATCAAATAATATATATATATATATTTTTTTTTCATATACATAAAACTTCAGCTCAGCTGGCAACTGATAGAACTTATGTTGTTTGTTTTACAGTTATTGGCTGTATATAAGGTAGATGAATAGTACAAAATAATTAGTTAGCTGCTTTAAATCAATGATTTAATTAAATATTCAAAATATTAATTGGATTATTTATTGAGATTACAGATATTTCGGTTAATTTGTATCTGCTAATTTGTCTTAACATTTTATTATGGTTGTCACTTCATTCTTTTATTTATATATAAAAAAAAAACGTTAAAATAAAACCTCACTATCGGTATTCTTCTTGAAGTGATCACTTCTTTAGTGGCGCTTAACAGTTTTTTGTGAGTTGTGAATGAGACTGAACCGTCCGCTCGGCTGTCACGCTCATTCGGGTAAAGTCGGCTTGAGTCCACTAATTGTTTTATTTTGAGTAAAATATCTCAGAAACTGAAAATCGGACCTGCATACTTTAAGAGAGGGAAATTTTCAGTACTTTTCATAGCTATTATTCAAAACTGTATGTTGTTAGAATAAGCAAAACCAGAAAAAACCAACGAAAAAAATGTCAAAAACCAGATCATAACAAATTTCATTTTTTTTTCATACCTCTCTAGGCATATACGTAGATATGTAGCGCAGAGACTGGAGTTACCTGGTTTACAAAAGTAGATGGTGTTTCGAGGATTTTATTGCCTAGCGTTAATATAATTAATAGATTTTTTGTTATAATGGTGTAAATGATTTGTTAGCTGTAAGCTTTAAGCTGTAGCTCCTCAAAAATTGTATAATACCCCAACTTTGACAGAAAATAATTTCAATTCAAAGTAGAGCGGTATGTGAAAGTTGTGTGTTGCGCGCACAAGATTTTTTTCTGTTGCATTACAGACCGACCTTGTAGATCTTTTGCCGCCTTAATAAGACTATAGGTGCATCCCTGCCTGATTTGGGTTATTTATTTCTAGTTATCACCATGCAACTCTATTGCTTCTTTGTTGATTCGATTTATTTATCCCCTTTTTGGCCTTCCACGTGGTCTTTTGCCTACTATTGAAGCATTAATTGTCTTGTAGAGGCTTCCAGATCCTGCTAGTTACATGTCCCACCCACCATAACCGCCTTGCCTTCATATCATGAGATATTGATTGACCAGTTTCTGTAAGCAGCTCTCTGTAGGTCATTTTTCTCCATGTATAAGTACTCTGATAGCAGATCGTTCTGGTTATCATGCGGATGATTTTTCTCTT